ACCCGCATGCTTTGTGCGGGACCATTGTGATCTCTTTTGAGTCTGTTTAAAGAGAGGGCTGAAAACAAGATACCGGAGATAAGGAATGATGTAATGCCGATTCGGTCACCATTCGGCGTTTGCTTCGAGCTATCGCATTTTATTATGTAAAGCAATAAAGGCTACAAGATTTTTTATAGCGTCGGAAAATATATGTTTAAAAAAATAATCATTTCTATACATTTATCTTATAAAAATGAATAAAATACTCGAATTTTTTTGTCATAATTAAAAATAAAATGTTTAGTTCAATAAAAGTTAATTTAAACTTTTCTTATTTCTACGAATGATACGATGCGAATTTTTGATACAATGCATTCTGACTTTATAGAATTTCATCGAATTTATACGAATTCCGTCAGAAAACGCCTGGTTTTTTCAAACAAACATTCTCTCGGTTTACAAAACGCATACGACTGCGTTTGAAACGTTACAACTCACGCCATTCTTTCTAGTAATCCAATGTTTCGGAGAGACTTTCTTGAAGTCCTTTAAAAATTCATCGTTCTTTACTTTGTCGACATGTAAAACCGTATGAAACTGCATTTGAAACGTTAAAACGCGCGCAATTCTCCGCATGGGTTATTTCGATGGAATGAGGGGAATATTTTCAGATTTCGGCCGTCACTTTCCAAACATCGCTTCTCCCAAATGTGTTTTTTTTTTCCAAACGTTACTCGCAAATGGCTCCGGTTGCGTAAATCACTCGCCGATACGTGAGTAGAAAGATAAATTGCAGAATCGTTTTTGCATGCTACCTTTTATAATTTTTTTTACCATAGTCAAGCCTGATAACGCCGTCTGACCCAAACTGTTTTGTGTTGTATATCGCGGTAAAACATTGCCTAAGGCTGATAGTGCACTAGCGAAAAAAGGTGACCCGCTGACGAAACGTTCATGATAAGCTACGAGGACAGAATCAAAGTTGAAGAAAATATTTTTCTTCTAAAAAAAAAAAAATCTCACTCGCAAATACTAATTTTGTCTCACATTTTGAAATTTAACCAAAAAAATTGTCACCGTGCTCGCTAAATAAATGTTACAATTGTGATCGTATCACAGCTGCAGATAACGTGCAGTTCGTGACCATGGCGATATGTTATCTTGGCCTATCGTTATCAAAGTATCGGTTTGCATTCGCTCTGTTACCCCTCAATAATCTTTTAGATGTGCTTAGGCTGAATTTGATATCTCGGAAGCCATTAGCAAAGAATAAATAATGACATTTCACTGATCTGTAACTCTATTATGCATCCAACGGTTTATTTCTTGAACGAGACAAGACTCAGACTACGATTGCTGAACGACACAGGACGTTTTTTGAGAAGCTCTTTGTTTAAATGAGGTTATTCCTACAAAGATTGAAGTTTCAGATTAACCCTATTCTTTCTTTATCTGTTCAATATTTATATCTTGCTATATCTTTTATAACCTGAACTTCTCTTGATCATCTAGCGATCGAGAGAACTGCCATGCTGATAAAATTGGTTTAAAGTTAATAGTCATGTACCGCAATTAAATTTTGTATTAAATTAAGTATGTATGCTTGTTTTATACCCCATCATTATTGGATACATCTAAATCTAATTCAGGAAAGCTGAATTTAATTTGTATTATTAATGAATTACTAATACAGCTTCAGAAATTAAGGTCATAAATTATGACGATATATTTTCACGCGTGGTACTAAGAACTTATATCACGGTGCATCAACTAATTTATAGTGTTAATTCGGTACAATTTGACACTTGACTGCAATAACAATAGTGTGTTGCATTAAATCCGAGTGTCAGATTCCTTAGAATATCAGAATGTTACGTGAGCATATCTCTCTTTACTTTCACGAACTTTAGAACAAATAATTTAGAACAAATGTCAAAAGAAATTGTTTTTTAAATTCTCCAACATACTCATCTGATTGGCTATGTAATCACTCATATGAAAAACTTATTTCTGGAGCGGCGAGTGCAAATCTTATCATTGCATTGTTAATCGACATGGATAAAAATAAATCAGATGTAGATTATATTTGTGGAAATAATATCGTCATACATTTGTACTAATTTGATTGCGATATTTTATACGTGAGTGAGACAAAGAGTTGCAAATAATACTTAAATTGTTCTGTATGTGGGTAAGAAAAAAAATGCGCTTTTCTTGACACACATGATAATTTCAAATATTCTTGATTAGCTTGATACCTCGTGCTTCGCTACGGTATGCGAAGGATTCTGTAATTCACCCCCAAATCTACATTTGCCCCTTTAGGGGTTGATTAGGGCAAAATCTTGAATTATGTTTTTAAGCATTTGTATTGATAACCTTTGTAAGCAAAAACAAAGTCAATATCTCATCGGATTTAAAAGATATTGAGGAATCTGTAAAAACACATCTTACCCCTTTTTACTCCGTTAAAGATCGAATTTCTAACAATCCCTTCCTAGCTTACGTCATGGAAGGAATATACTCCCCGAATTTTATGTTTCTATAGGTTTAGGGGCGTGGGCTGGGCGTTGATGAGTCAGTCGGGACATTTGTTTATATGTTGTATAATATAGACATAGATATTCTTTTTTCACTTTTTGCACACATTCACAATTTTATTCTAAAACATTGTATATAGCTTGAAGAAGTGTTCATTTTCCCATCTCCTCCGTGTCTCTGTATTCCGTTGTTTTACGGCTGAAGTCCCTTCTAGACGGACGAGTGCGTCTCTGCCCACGACGGGGAAAGGCCTTTTTCAAAGCTTCGCCTTTCTGGAATCGCATACAGAGTCTCGCCTCGCCTTTTATAACGATGCCACCGATCTCGCGACCTTCAAGATTCGCTTCACGCATGTATACACATACGCCACATGTATACGTACGCACATTTATGTTCTATTTACACATCGTCATCATCAGCCGATTCACACATCTCTTTCTCTCCAGCTTGTCTCACTCAATGATTTTCTCGTACACAGAACAACTCGATTTTACTTTACCGATATCTAATTTTGTGCAGATATTATCAGGAAAAATGTCCTTTTGTGAATAGTAATACAGTTCTTTATATTATATATATATATATATAGATAAGTGTCTTGCGGATGTCGGTTCAAAAATTTTGCAACAGTTGTTCGATTATATATAAGAGTTCTCGTAATTTGTTCGCATTACAAAGTAATTAATTCCCTCGTGTAACTACCTTATCAGACGTAACTTGAGACAAGGTAGTGAGAGCGAATTAAATTATCGTGTGATTGGAATTTTGTCAATCTGCACCCAATTATGTGTAATACATTCATTACCATCGAGTAATTATTTCCACATTATATAAGTATAAAAATAATTTGCTAGCACAGCAGATTTCATGCTGTTGTAGCAAAATCTGTCCGTTATTATATGGACAGCAAAACGATTTGTTAAGAGTATTAATCGCTATTTGCTGGATATAATTTTGCTGACTACGAATTATTTTGCTGTAAGGCCAAATTGGTTCTTGTTCGATTATCAAATTTTTTTGCTGTATTAACAATATAATTTTGTTACATGAGCAAAATTTTACCATATAATTTCTTTCGGGAATTCTCCAACTGTCTAGCAGGCCTCGAATCATTATTGCAACACGTACAGACAGATTAATAAAACAGATAAGTATCACTCGAAAGCATGCGACTCTTGCGTTCGTAGTTATCCTTAAATTTGGAATCTCATGAATATTAAGACCTGCTAATGACACAGAGTCAAGCCCTTATCTTGCGGTATAATACACAAATGGAATTGGTAAACTTTCTTTCTTGTAGAAAGGACAAAAGAGAATATGACACAATATTCATATAGGATACAACATTCGTTCTCTCATAGATCACACGTACTTCAAAGCACACATACACCTAATACGTCAAAAAATCAGTTTTGCATATTAAATTTGTTAGTTGTATTTTGTTATGAACATAACGTGCATATGTGCGGCCATATCGCATAGATGCAAGAAATCTGCGCGATGGTTATTGTCTCAGCGTCTATCCTCTTTTGTCTTTTCTCTTCGCTCAGTAAGGCGACTAGCGAGCAGTAGTTTTGCTCCGATAGCAAATGTATATTTGCTAAGAATATATTATTCTGCTTTAGTAGCAAATTGACGTGATTCTAAAGACAAATACACTCAATAAATTTTTTCTATTCTCGCAACAAAACAGATTTTGTTTTAATAACAAATAATTCGTAAAATTAGTTTCGTTAACTAAATTTTATTGCTGTTACTAAGAAACTCGCAACTCGTTGCATCACATAAAAGAGTCATCGTGCAGTCTCGCTTCACGTATACTTGGCGCGAGACTACCGTGTCTCTTGATATGCAATATCAATGACGATTTTGTTGCAACAGCAGAATTATTTGTTTCTATGTAGTGTATCACAAAAAGGTAGACATTCTTAATAAACAACAAAATATTAGAGATGTGTGAATCAAGGATTTTTGATGTCGAATCAAATCGTATCGAATTTTATTTTCTCTTTCGAATTCGAATCGAATCGAATCGACAAAATTTCATTCGAATTGAAGCGAATCAAATACTTTCGAATCAAATCGTTGAAATGTAATTTTTAATTAACAATATCATTATTATTAGATTGAATTTTAACATGTAGATAATAAGAGAATATTTTAATGTGGAAAAATAATATTAATTATATAATATAAATTCTTTTTGAAGCAAAAATATATTTAAATATTTAATCCGCTCAGTGAACGGTTATAATACTGAAAGTACTCACTGAATGCACCTATTAACATGATCGTACTTTTGCTTATTGACGGAAAATAATTTTATAAAATTGGCAATATACAATGTGATTCGTATTCGATCCATCTAAATTCAAAATTATCGAATAATTCGAATTCAAATCATAGAAATTCGAATTCGAATAGTTCGCACATCTCTACAAAATATTTATACATTATTGCATTTTTAAAGCTTTCAGGAATATTTCTCAATGGACGCATGACTAATATAAAATTCACACTCTGCAATGTGTGTTATCGTCTAATCTAATACATACCAAGCTTTGTTCGTATGCAATAAGGCAAGGTTAATTCACGTTGAAATTCGCATCTTATCGGCTGTCAACAAAAGAACGTTTATGGAATTAATGGAAAATTTTACTGTTGAGAAGTTACATAACACGTTACGATATGTTGCGGTTATAAATAAGAATTAGCGAACGGCAAATTACGGCGGGAAAGAGACGGCGCAAGAGTATTTCCCCACGTGCTCCTCTCTTTGAGAAAATTATTTATAACTGCTGCATGTGGATTTTTTTTTCTAACGTCAAAGACCGCTCTCAAAGGCCTTATGATAAACGATAAGAAGGAAAAGAGAAAAAGAGGAGCGTATAGCGAATTACACGCGCTGATATCGCGTTTTATCGCTGCATGCGACGTCATGCGTCCGATAAAGTCGTTTATACAGAGGGCTGTGACCGATACGGTTTTCCAACTCTCCCCTATTCCATCGAACCCGCCTGGAGGCCTCGCGTCTTATAAATCCGATTTTTTGCTTCCTCTCATTTTTCTCAGTAATATTTCTGATTTTTTAAAATACCTTTGAGTCCATCGATTCCTTAAACAAGGGTAAAGATTCTTCCTTCTCATGATTGATTCCGAGTGATTTCTTCGAAGATTTCCAGAAATCGACACGATCTGTGGCACGTTTGACTGCCAGTACTGGTATAAGACAGGAAGGCCACAGTTCGTGACCATAAGGTCCCCCAAAGCAGGCCAAAATTGTCCGCTGCAGTTTTCAGAATGCAGGACATTTTTCGGACCAGCAACTGTTATTGGTTGGAAAGCCTTTAGAACGATGGAGCTTTGCTATGATATAACAATGGCGAATGATGATTCGAAAGAATGTCCCCTTCCAGAATCCAACCAAAACGCAGAAATTTAGAATTATATTGAAAGGACCAATAAGTGCGTAATATCCATCCATAATAAGTGATGAGGACGAATGACCAATAATATTGGTCATTGAGTTGGAAAGTAATGACAATTAAAAAGAATAATTTCAAAAAACTTGATCTACTGTAACGTGTAGGGTAAGTTCGGGTGAGATAGCCTTAGAGAGATGACCCATTCATCCGATACTAGATGACGAGCTGGATTGAGAGAACATGAGTGGGTCATCTCTCCTCTAATATGGCCATCTCACTCGAGTTTACCTTATGCAATTAATGTAACATATAAGAAGAATTTTAAATAAAAGTGTCTGTGATAAGTGATTGAAATAAATCATTACATACAAAAATCATTGAATTTGGATGGTTCTATAAAAATTATATAAAACGTTTCCTTCTTATCGTTTCACGAAATAAACGAAAATAAGTTCGGGTACGCACGTTTAAAAAATAATACAAAAAGCTGTTAGTTGTTATTAAATTTAGTCATAAAATATGGATAACTAATATTTTTTTGCAGCAAAAGCTATATTTTTTGCAGCGAGAGCTATAGTTTAGCAATAGTAGCAAAACCTTTTGTTCTCACTGGAAAAAATGTTAGTTATCCATATATTACGACTAGGGTAAACTCGGGTAAGATGGCCATATAGGAAAGATGGCCAACCCATGTTCATTCGATGTTTCATGGCGAGCTAGATTGAAAAACCATAGGTTGGCCATCTTTCCTGTATGGCCATCTCACCCGAGTTTACCCTATTTTAGCTATAGTAGCTAATCTTTTTTTTCCGTGATACTGACAATCGTGTTTTTTTACGACCTCAATTTTCATCCTCTCAAATGATTTATCCTCTTTTCCGCTAATTAATCGCCGGTCTTGAAATGAGCCCTGAAAATCTTGCGTATCACGATTTCAATGGGCTCGGCCCGCGCCGAGGACCGCGTAATTCGTAAAGTGTTGTAATAATCGGGTGCACGGCAGAAAGTGTGTGGCAACGCGAGTTTCACAAATGGGTCAGCGGGCACTGCGAGGATGGTAGCGGTGTATTCGGGGCCCGGCGCGCGCGTATACGTACGTTTGGCAACGTATTTATCGTCGCTTGCAAAAAGAGAGTCTTCCCTCGTCTGTCGCACGGCCGAGGGTCATCCTCTCTCGTTCTCTTTTCGCGCGCACGTGCCCGGACTCCGTGCAAGATATGAGGAACGTAGAACGGCGATTTTCGCCGCTTATGCGCGAGGCGGCGCGCCGTCGAAAGTTCGGATGCAAAAATATCTTCTTGATGATATAATAATGTGGGCGGTGATATTGCCTTGCAGAAATCATTGGAGGGAGTATAAGTGAAAATGTGTTGCCGTAATCATTCATACATGCAATCAAATTTTGTTATGTATATATAAAGTTTATATATTTATGCCATATTCCGCGTAAAAAGCTGATTCGCAACTAAATTGCTGAAGAAAAATTGATTCCAAATCTTTCGGAGAATCTATAGTCAAAAGGAAAATAACTTTCAGGGCATTTTATGCGCCAAATGTCTTTGTAATATATTAGTTCGACAAATTGTGGCAGGGTAAATTCGCAAGATGGAAAAAAATGTTATTTTTATGGGAGGAAGAGGGGAGGGGGAGACTTAATGTCTGTAAACGACATCCGCTCTAGACACAAGGATCCAATTAGAGCTCGTTAAGAATATGTTTCGAGATCCTTCATTGTATGCCCGCCCGGCTCGAGCTTCAGCGAAAATTTGTGTCGTTTCTTAAGCGCGTTAAAAAGAGCGTCTTCTAGAGGTAATAACAATCGCGAAAAATATATATAATTAAACGGTGCGGTAACAATCAACTCGAGTATACATTAACGCAAATATACCTCTTGCAATAATTTAATTATTACGTTTTGCAATTAAAACAAAAATGTTATAATAGGAGGTGGGATTTCACGTCACTCATATAAACAGTTTTGCTGTACATATCAATTGATTTTATAATCCAATTTTGCTAATTAACAGAAGTTGTATCATTTATCGCAACACATGCATGGTAACGCGCGCGCGTGGAATTTTTCATTATATCTATATTCGTGTACGTAAACAGAAACGTGTAACGTGTTACGGACGGTATCCGGCCGGCTTTAATGGATATTCAGTGTTTATATCACGAGAACGCGGGCTACGATTCTAGACGTAGTAGAAAATGACAAAACATGATGATTATTTGGAGAAATGGTTACTGGAACTATGATTAAAATGCTGGGCGGAGCAATAGAAAATAATATTTTATTAAAATAAATAATATAAAATAGAATATATATATATATATATATATATATATATATATATATATATATATGCTATTCTCATTACGTTAATATTTATGTAAATACATCGATTTCTTTTGGTTAGGCTAAGCCTGCTCCACGTATCTTATACATGAGTGAAAGCACAACGTATCTCTATGACCTATGGTCTTTCCGAAAAGGTAAGCATATATATTGAGGAGGACAAATTTAGATATTCGCGTTAGCGCTAGATGAAGCTTCGCTTCAAGCCGTTTTTAGTATACGTAAAACTGTATAGACACGATTATAATACATCGGGGAGAGAAGTTTCTGTCTGTATAATATAACACAGGCGAGACTACGTACGTTATCTCTAACCGCTTAAATTTTTAGACAACGGAATCTCGAATATTGCCGTTGGCATGTTTGTGGTGAGATAGCAGCTGCTGCAGCTGATGGATATAATGTGAAAAAAAAAAAAAAAAAATAAACATAGACATCTTGTAAATGCAACGTCTTAATTATATATTCGATGCGTGATGTACATATCTCTACACACAATGACATTAAGCTAATAATTCGCTCGGCTCAAGGACATGTAACGTGTAACATGTAACACAGAGTTCTCCATTCTGTGTGACATCATGCAGCTAATATATTTTCGATACTTGTTTGACTGAATGTTTTGTTTAATGTTGCGTCGAATAAACGATTATCTCCTTTCATTCCGAGTAAATTATAAAAGTAATGTAAAACATGTGCAAAATCGAGTCAAACGATTGTTCCAGTAAATATGCTCTAATAATAGTTTAATAGGTTCTCAGATATTATTTTTATTCTTTATAATATATCGCAAAAATATATTTGAGAGCTGTAAAGTAAACCGAAAAAAAACTTTACATTATTACTTTAATTATTGATTATTTACATATATTAATGGCTTGTTGCTTTATGTACCTCTTTTCCATTCAGTAGTGTGATTTATTTATTCTCTGTATATTTTCCGAAGAATTTCATAAAAAATGTTTCATATAAAAAAAGTATATTGCTTGTAATGGATTCGAAGTACTTGATGGATATACATGATTAACAATTTTGCATTTTAAAGAGCTTAACAGCAGTGACATTTTCGTTTCTAGAAAATCGAGCTTTCTAACAAATATTAATTGTGCATCAAATGTGCAGCCTGAATCTTGCATACTGCGATTCAAATGGGAAATATTGATTTAGATAATGCACGTGTATATATATTATCTGGTTGTCTAACAGTGTTTTATATTGCCCGGAGCCTACTCGGTCTACGAATCGTTAGTACAGAAAGAAATTGGAGCAGGAAAAAATGAAATAGGAAGCGTGCCTTCTGCGCGTTAATTAAAAGTGCTGCAGAGGAAGTTGCCAAGTAAGAAGGGAGAGGCTGAATGGAAACAGCTGCTACTGGATGACGACACAGTCTAAGAGCGCGCTTAGTTCAGGAGCTTCATCACCGTTAGTTTCACCAGCGGGTATTAGAACCAATACCCATCTACTAGTCTACTAGGGCATCCTAAGGGAACCGAAGCAACCTAAGGGGACATCATTGATTTTCTTTTCAAGAAATCTGTTGAGAAATTTTAATCAAGCATTTATGAGAATTTCTGAATATTTCAAACCCAACTAGTGCGTATATGGTAAATCATTGTAGATAAAGAATTAACAAGAATTGAAGAATTAAAAAGAATTAATCAGATTTCAATTTCGATTCTTTTTAATAGCCGATATATACTCGACGAATTTAGATTTTACTGGTGTTGCGGAAATTCGAGATGTTTTATTCCTTCATAAAATAATAGTTTATGCAAGAACACTTTGGTCACAGTGTTATCTGAACGTGTTCTCTGATCTGAGTCAGTGTCGATTTGATTACATCATACGAGATATTGAATTTTTGTGCTGAACCTGATTTGTCGGGGGTTTTTTTTTCAATACGGTCCATGCGGAAGCATTAAACATCTGTAGGCGTTGATGTGGTGGGAGGACCACATTATAAGAAAATCTAACATCAGGCACTTTTCTTCGCACTTTCTGTTTTTTTCCTTTCATGACACGGATATAGAAAATCAAACGTTACTTCTTTTCGATAAGAATCATTTAATACACAAATGCAAGTAAGAGGTAATCAATTATATAAGGAATAGTATCGTGCCTGATTATCTTTCCACATGCATAGGACGCATCGAAATTTAAACAAAATTATACTTCCGATTTCTGGATAAACTCCAGTTCGATTGCTGCGAAAGCTATTTACAGAACTGTTTCCCATATATATGTACTAAACATGACTATAAAATTATTTTCGTGATATACTCCTCTATAAGAATAATATCTGAAGTAATTGTGAATCTGTCAAACTGTTGTTAGAGTTCCAAGTTCTTGTGGCGCAGTCCGTTAGAACTTAATAATTTAAATCTTAATACGCTCATACAAGCAGTGCTCTTCTACGAATTTCTCTCTTCGTTACTTCGAATTTTGCACTAGTTTCTGTGCTCAAACGCTCACCCTTCGATAAAGTTAAAACGACTTCGCGGAACCGATCCACGTGTATAGGTCAGGTGGGAATTTCGTCAGCTTTTTCGGGAAATCGAGAGCAATATTATTAACCTTTGCACAAATAAATGTAATTCATGGGGTAAAAACGTGCTTTTTATTTTAACTAGATATAAAAAAAATTAACAAAAAATTATTTTAAAAGCAAAATTAGATGTGTAAATTTTATTTAAATTGTACATCATATTGTCATTGAAGAGAGAGAGAGAGAGTGAGAGGAGAGAGGAGAAATAAATTAATTTAAGAAGACATTCCATTCTAAAAAATATAAATTTTAAAGATATTTACTTCATGCTGACGATATAGAATCTCATATTTGTATAAATACTACAAATTACATGCGATAATCGTGATATTTTTAATTTGGAATAAAATTAAATTTTATTTAAAATTATATTTGAAAACAATATATATATATATATATATATATATATATATATATATATATATATAATGTTAAGATAAATAAAAAGACGAGCAGTCAAACTGACAATTATGTTAAAATTTTGATTAAAATTTAGCTTCTGATATTTCCAAATATATAATATTTAAAAAATACTTTTCTTAAAATTAATTACATTTTATTTACTAAAAATCGAATGTATATGCTAATAACTTTTAAATAATATTTGTATATTGCTCAATTAATGCTTTATCTCTATAAAGCGAACAACGTTAAAAATTAGAAAAGAAAACGATATCTGGTGTCTGCTATGAAACTAATAGTTCCTATTTTTCGAAGTTATTTAAAAATAAACCAAGAGTAAAACGCTTTGCGTTTCGGATTTGGATGAAGAACGTGTTATGGTACAACATAACATCATCGTACACGAATGTTAATAACAGAATTGTCAGTTGAAGATGTTAATGATAGAGTTTGAAGAGAGTTAGAAGAATTAATGTACATATTTTAATTCGATAAATGTCAAGTAATTTATATACCTCGTGTCCTCATTTCTGTTCGCTACGATACGCTCCACTCTGAAAGAAAAAAATAAAAGAATAATCATTTCTCACATGCCTGATACTATGCACCTACATTCTACAGTTACATTTTATCACACGCAACGTAAGTAAGATAAATTATATCAAAATTCTCGCTAAAACATATATCTGCTTTGTGATAATGTAATAGATGGAATTAAAAGTACAAAGGAGTTTAACTAGAAAAGAGTTTAAAGTATAAACTTTTAGTTAAAAAAATTATCTAGATTTATATTAAATCGCACAACTACGTTTAGTCATTATTGCACAAAATGTGATAATTATATTTCATATTGTACGATTTAATATCGAAAGTTATAAAGCTATTTAAAGAAGCTTAAAAAATTTCTATTATTTATGTATAGAGCAAAGTAATATATATACTATTCCACAGTCGCGTTAGATTTCATCCGAGGATTCATAAATCTATAAAATCTTGATGTATGTCACATGTCTTTTGTAATTAATATGTTAGGCCAAAAAGTCATGTGCATCCGTTAACGAAAATGGTTCGCTAAAGAGGCGAATGCACTTGACTGTTTGTAGTCCGCCCCGGTTTCTGGGTTTATGGGCGGCGATCGGCGTCTGCCAGAAAAGCGTGAGTGCAGTGCCGAAAAGGAAACGAGGAAGTCTTTCTTTCATCGGGTGTTCCATTACCAAAGACAGGCTCATACCCGACACGTGGTGTAATATATACCGCTGTTTGGGCTATATATGGTACGCCAGGAGTATAGCCGATGCTTTCATGAATCGTTTACTGTCGCGGAGTTAATTTGTCTTTAATGAAAATTTAGGTGCGTGTAACATTTTCTTGTATAGCCTTTTCTGGTGAATTATTACTCTAATTACGTGTCTCTTTTTGACAGAAATAATCTCAATGTTCATGCGGAGCGAGCGCGAGTCAAAAGCAATTTCGTATTGCAATTATAAAATATTTATTTTTAGAATATTACCATTACCAATGAAAAAACGAATTATCAATCACTTTCAATACTTTGAAAATTATTATTTAATGTTCATTTAATATATAGATATTATACACAAAAATTTTTAATTTTAATCAACTGCTTATCTCATCGAGATAAACTTTAATTTTTATTTTTAAATCGCGTGCAATAAATAGATACACAAATATGTAAGTAAATAAATGAATCCTTTCTATAATAATAAAAAATAAATCCCTCAAACGACGCATCATTATTTTTCACATTCACGGCTGTAATAAAATTACGCTGGTCATTACCTCGAAAACCAGCTCTCGTCGAATAACGTTCCTGCGTTAGCATTATCACACTCCGGAAATGGCGCAGCCAAATATAATGTGCCGTTCAATACGAGAATCATGCGAGCGCTTTCTAAATATTCCTTTGTTAGTAATGTCAGGAGTATTACGCCTGACATTTTCGATTAAAATTTGACGTTGATAATTGACAGAGAAAAATTCAATGAATGTTAAATATTTGTCCAAGTTTTTGACGCGTACGTGTCATATTCATATTAAATTAAATATTTTTTCATGAAAAACACATCAAGCAATATGATTGTCAAAAATTGCTAATATGTAATTTGAAATGCGTTTAGATTTAAAGTTTATAGTCCGACTACGATAGTTTAAAATTTCTTTGATCTCGAAGAATAAGTGCGAAATATTTCTAGTTGCCTTCGAACCGTAGGTTACATAAAGCATATCAATGTGTCTTTAAATAATGTCTAATTAATTATTAATAAGGATATATTTCTGTGTGAAATCACAAATAGCCATTTATGTCAAATGAATACATTTATATTTAGTCAATAAGTAAACGAACTCGAACATTCGATATTAAAGAACGATATAGGTAAAATGGGTCTCTGGTCTAAAAAGTGTAACGTAAGTTATATATATATGTACTCTTACGTCTTTGGGTCACTAAATACGATGGTAGAATTTTTGTCCGTTTAAACCTGTATTAGGAAAGTGCTGAAAATTCTTAAAAAGGTCGAAATTAATTATTTTTAATAATAATTCGGTTAATAACGATTTTGTTCTAATTATTTAATTACTTGTATTATAGTTTAGTTTTTTACTCTTCTTTTTACTAAAAAAACTAAGGAAATATTTTAAAATAAGACACTTCAGAAATACTAAATCTAACATCAAAATAAAATTAAAAAAAAAACAGCCAATTTTTCTTATTCCAAGAATTATTTCAACTCCTTTAATGCAAATTTTTGACCATTTTTTCACGGATTTAAACGGATAAAAATACTATTATCGTATTCAGCAACTTAAAAACCGTAAGAGTACATGTATAACTAACGTTACACTTTTTAGGCTAAAATCGGCCTACTTTATCCATCGTCCTTTGTGCCTTTCATTTGGCAGTTGAAGATTTGTCTTTAAGATTATGAATATACAGATCTCGTTTAGAAGACGCTGCTTCTTGCAATTCCCAATTTTCGCACTGTCGATTTTTCAATCTTAATATCCTCTCCTCAAAATCAACGACGGCCGAATAAATGATGTGGACGCATCGAGCGTCCCAAAGGATCCACAATTCACTCGCCACGGCGCTGACCCAAGGTGGAGGTCATTACACCCAGTAAGCTCTCATTACTCCTCGATCGAGCGACCTCTTCTCTCTCTTTTACCCCTTCTCTTTCTCCTCTACACCACCTCTTCGCAGCTTGACCCTTTCGTGTGCTTCGTCGGGCAACCGGTCGTTCCCTTCGAAAAGCTTCTTCGGCGACTTTCTTGCAGTCGGCAACGCCAACGAAAATTTATCGCATCTCGTCCCGGACGACTCATCGATTTTCTCGTCCGCCCCTTTTCACCCGTCTTTCTGGCGGACTACCGAAAATCTTCAACCGCAAAGAGTAGACCGCGCCCCCGCGCGAACCACTTCTCTTCTTTTTGCTCATATCGACGACCGTCGCTCGTAAATCCGCGCGAAATCTCCGTAATATTGCCTAACTAGTTCGCCCGCGTGGATTTATGGCACGTTCCGCATTGATTTAGCGCCGAGTTTGTTAAGAGAATACCGTGGTATACGCTAAAAATGACACGCACTTTCGCGCCGCGTTGTTTTCCGCACGATTAATTGTAATCGCATATTATTAAAACTGATGGTAAACACTAAAAGGCGGTAAACATTCTCTGAAACCATGTAGTACATTCGGTCTGGCATGTCAGTCGTGACCTCGATTCTTTAAAGATTTTAATCCAAAGATACCGTTAAATTTTCAAAATGCCATCTCGCTATAGAAACACATTTATATATTGTCATAATAACAAAGACCACGTATAACGAATAACACATAAACTTCGTAAATTCAGTGTGAATTCTCGTAAAGAGAGAATATATTTTAGTTTTTTTTTATTTAAAAAAAACGCAGTTTTAATATGCTTAACAAGCCTGGTGAACAATGTTTTGGTTAGATATAAAGTTATATTTATATATGGTTGTATATACATTATTTAAGCTTGGTGTATCTATCGATGATTCATGTATCGGGGAAGTTTCAGGGAAATTAATCTCATATGTAATATCGAATGTCCAATATTCACAACGATTGAATTTGCAGTATTATGACTATATTACATATATGTCGGCCGGGTTGGTCAGCTGACGCACGTCACGATTTTGCTCGAAAACGTAATAGCACATATCCATCTTACGCGGAATATATTTGGAACGCGTTGTTATCCCGACCTACACGCGCAGGAAATCAGCCATGCGATTTGTTCTATGTTTTCAATCTGCCGGTTCACCTGACGTTAACGCCCATTCGCGATTGTTATGTTTATTGTTATTCAACACCATATGCCAATAATTAGCTTCTTTAATTTCATTCCTCTCTCATCCCATTTTAGCGAACTATCGTGAAATGTTATTTCAAACGTCAATGTGTACTTCTAATATCGGTTTACGTATCAAATTTTATAATCATCATCACCATCATCGCGTTGTCGATATAATTAGGTATATTATTATTATTTGTTTACATATCATAATAGATAATTATAACATTATAATAATTATTATATAATGTATATTATCATAATAAGAATTTGTTTATATATTATATTTTGCGACTATTAACATTAAAATTAAACTAGTTTTATCTTCCTTTTTATATTTATTGAGCTGAGAGATACAAACAATTTTCTATATTTTATTTTACTTTTATAATTGTTCGTATGTTTTTAAAAGATTTAGCCTGAAACAGAAATCACAGATAGTACACGAAGAGAATTTTTTGTTATATTTGACCCTTAAATTCACTACAAACTTGGGATAACTTGGCAACCAAGAAATTTTTGAAATATACAAAAGACATTTTACAAACAACGTGATAAAAATTACCAAGCAGATTTGGTAAATTTTAAAAAATTATTGAAATTTCCTAGATATATTTTAGTAAAATTAATCAAACATATTTTATATTTTAATGTAATAGATATTAATATTTTTTATTATGGTAGATATTAATCAGAATAGCTCGCATAAAATTCTTGGTGGTACATGTTGCCCCACAACTACCATGATTTCAGGGTAAATTTTAAAGAGAAAATTCTTTCCGTGTAGTACTATACCATCTGCAACTACGCAATCATTCTTTTTCCATTTTGCAGAAATTGTTAGCGGAGAAACAATGCGCAGTCCTGTTCGCAGCGAGAACAAACGTCTGCGCCATTTGATTACGCGACAACATTGTTGGCTTACGAGTCATTATGCAACCGACAGCGTGGTCATAACTTCGAGTAAACGCAAGGAATCGACACGAATAATGAATGAGAGAAAGGCCAGCCTGTACGCTTCTGCCGGAGCTCCCGACCGAGATAATCCACGCTTATGGAGTAGTATGCTCGTGAAGAATAGAAAATATCAACTCTTTATAATTATAGGGCGACTTTAGACTTCGCCTTTACCGCACAGGGTTCACACAGGTATTCGCAATGTTTTTAATTTTCAAGATATTGCATATATTCAAGTAATGTAACCTACTATCAAGTT